ATGCCTTTTACTCACAAAGTAAGACCGGCTCAGTGGGTTTATACCTCTTGCAAGACACAAAATAAAAATGATATATAAAGAAATATACGAGTCTGACATCGACTTTTTAACTGATAAAGTAATATATGACAATCTGACAGTGACTTCCTAACTAATAATTCGCTACCGAAAACCAATCCCTGAATACATCACACTTCCTTGAAAGCTCTGGAAGCACTGATCTGCAAGCACAGATGAATATTTACTTATCAGTTCTCAAAAAAACTATTTGGCTCTATTTGGCTGACCAGGTCAGAAACGCTCATATCTAAATGTAAATAGTATTGAAACCAGTACCGTGATAAACGATTTCATTGTTCAGAGCTAATGAATGAACCACTGACATGATCTTGCATGGGTTTGTTTTGGTTTCAAACCCAAGATCAAACTGTCAGCATTCCCAAAGAGAGCACCTCCTGCCTCATATAAATATAACATTTGCCATAGCGGGGTGCTGCTTGCTGCAGATATATATAACATTCATCGTTAAAGGTTAAGGACTTCTTTACCCTTATGGTTGATATTCCTTCCTATGTGTACACTTCTTTAATGCAATGTGTGGAATCAATTACAGATATACTCTTTCTTAACATTTCCTTAATTAGTGATGCAGTGCCCACAAGCTGTTTTTGAATAGCAGCACTGTTGTGGTCTAAACATGCATGGATCTCATTACCCAAAGTGTATTATTTTTTCGAAACAGTTCCATTCTTGGTTGTATTTGTCTTTCTTCTGATAAGGAATGGCACTCACTGGTTTTGGATAACTTATAACAAATAGGATTCCTGTGTTAATATTTTCAGTTTACAATTTGTTATAGTGGGCCATTCTCTAAGGTAAGGTAAAATTGTCCCTGTGCTTAACTAATTAAGTGCTATGCCATGAAGGCGTATGGAGTAGTGGATGTATACATCCACTATTTCCTGACCTCGGCACTACTTGTAGGTGAGTGGTCAGCTTCATGCCCCGGCCGCTTTACCCCCAGGGAAAGAGCCAGCCCCCACCCCTCGATCATCTAGCCCGTAGCCCGTCACTATACCAACTGAGCTATCCCAGCTCCCAGGCCATTCTCTAGTAAAGTTATGTTGAAAACATTGTTTAATATCTGATGATGCATGACATAATTGTATATATATGTATGTTTTAGCATTTAGAAATAGTAAAATGTGATTAATATGCTTTGTTTTATTGATGGTAGTTTGTGTAAGTGTGATAATTTATCAGGAAGTTGTTTTTGAACTGTACGCACATGGTTCAGGTCACAGTGATCTCCATATGCTGTTGACTCGAAAGAATGTGCAATATTAAATGATGACACTACTTAATCCTGTATCCCTTTCATGGGTTCATGGGTTTCAAGGGTGTCTGACATCACTACCTCATGGGAAAATCTTTTGTAATCTTTTCATGGAAACTATACGTGGGTTTTTGAGAAAACTGCCTGTATGTATTGTTTATATAATCCCTAGTCAGAGACAGATTAGTGAAAGACATGCAGTGTTAGACTTCAGGTTCTCACAGCAGTGGCTGAGAAGAGTACTGTATTCTGGGATATGTCGAGTGGTATGGTAGATGTTTACTGACATTTTGGAGGAATGTATTCCCTCCAACTTCACAGTTGAAGAATAAGCCAAGCAGCTTTTGCTTTAATCCTGATTGTGGTGGCAGTACATTGCTCAAAAACTTATGTAGTCTAATAAACATCGTGGCATCACATTCGAGAAGATAGCAGTCTTTGCGTGTAACTTTGATAACAAAGTCATTTAAGAATGTAGCTCTCTGCCTGTCTAGGTCTGATCAAGCACATAAAATTCTGTGCTGCATTTACCAAGCTTGAAGGTTTCATATTTTGGGGCTGTCTGGTGCTGAATGAACTCGCGTTGTGCATATCTATAAGAAAGACACTGAATGTTGAGAGCGTCTTAGATTGAGGAGGAAGTGAAATCATCATATGAGATTTGAGGTTCTCATATCAGTGACTGTGAACATAATTGTCTTCTGGGGTATAATGTCATGTATATTTTTTTAAGTTAGTTATTTAATGGTGCTGTCAGGGTCGAGACTGTATAGCGCTGATGGTGCCACATAATTGGCTAAAAGTTTACTGATATGTGAGGGATGTGGCTGGAAATATATGCACATGCCTCTCATTCACCGTAGGTTCAAGACCACCCCCTGTCTTTGATTCTTTAAGAAATGCCAAGCATTTGGACCCCCTGCATGAGCACTGAACTTAGCCAGAAGTATAAGAAGCTAAATTTGTCTCTGTGCTTAACTAATTAAGCACTGTGCTATGAAAGTGTATTGGGGAGTGAATGTATAGATCCATATTTTCTTGACCTCAGCATTAGTTGGAGGTGAGTGGTCAGCTTCATGCCCCTGCAGCTTTATCCCTGGGGAAAGTGCCCCTGGTATCAATTTGATAAGAGGCTGGGTCGGCCCCAGAGCTATGTGTATGTGTATAAGGGGCGGGCCATAAAATCCGGTCCTTGTACTGTGACCTTTAGTGATGTATTGTGCTTCCCCTTTGGATTATCCCTTTATTAATCCTACACTTTGAATGAAATGTATGACTTTATTTATGGGGGCATCATAAAAGTCACTTGGTTCCTTGAAGAACTAACCCATGTGACAAAATCCTAAGTAAGCTATGGCCTCACACTCACATAGGATATGTGTGGTGGGCCTCAGAGCTGGACTGGAAGACATGGAGAAGAGGAAATTCTTCCTCCTACTGGGACTCAGACTCTGACCCCTCATTTATCCAGCCCATAGCTAGTTGCTATATCAATTGTGCTATCCTGGCTAGAAGTATAAAAAGGTAAAGTTGTCCATGTGCTTAACTAATTTAGCACTATGTCTTTATTGTATGGGGGAGAGGATGTCTAGACTCACATAACTTGTATAAAACCTGGTGCAAGGTAAGGACAGTTAGTGCAGTCTAATCATGAGCGTAGAGGTGGCATTTAGCAATCATATATAGGGAAATGTGTGAAACAGTGCGTTCAGCAGGCAATGCAGTACACAGGAAGATGAGAGTACAGTGGTGTACAGTTAAATGACAGTGAGCAAGAACATGCTGACATCAGGATCTTATGTGGATACTGGCAGTGAGTTAGGGACTATTCTGAAACACAATAAATATTACTACTGGAGTTCACTGTTATGCCCCGAACATGGAGGCAGCATATCCACCTGAAAAATCAGTACACTTTACCATAATTCACAGCATCATATCCAAAAAGAGGTATTCTCATGAGTTCATTATTTTTCTTCTTTTCTGATCTGACAGTTTGAATAGTTATGAAAAAGCACACTGTGGCTTCTGGTAGATTGTTAAGAGGAGTCACTTCTTCAGGTAGTCAGTACAATTCTGCTCTTAACGGCCAGGCTGCTTGCCCCCATCAAAAGAAAGCTTCACCATCAGTGGACTCTAATTAGAGCCCCTGAGAGATTTGTGGCTGCTTCAGGGATGTCTGTCGTTTCTCACATAACTCTGCATGTGAAGGGATGTAGACTTGTATTGCAAGGTCACCATTCGTCACACTGCACCCTCAGTGTCATGCAAGCCTTGGCTAGCAGAGTAGGTCGAGCATTACGTTAGGCACCACCTGTCTGTCCCGAACCTGCTGATTGCTGGGAATGCCATGAGGAGGCAGGTAGGGTGACTTAGTCAGTTCATGTCACAGACTTAGCACATAAAAGACATCAAGAAAAGTTATCATGATAGAGTTTATGTTTGTTGTGTATGAAATGCAGCCAGAAAGTTTGTGTGGTAATAATAGGGGACATACTGGCTGTGCCAATACGTTGCCTTGAAGTTGTTTTGTATCAAGTCAATACCGACAGTCCACTGATTTTTCTGTCACAGGAAACATTTATGGAACACCTGTTTCTCTAGTGGTCTGTAGGAAGATTCTGTTAAATTTCATTTATGCCAACAGAATATATCCTTTCTTTTCCTTTCAAGTAGTTTTTTCAAGTCTATAAAGTCTAGTTTTTAGACAATGACAGTTAAAAGCATGATACCTAGGCCTTATGTCAGCACTAACAGTTCATTTATGTGAACATCATCTAGTCAGCTGATCCCTTCTGTCATGATTTGTAACTTAAGCCTCTTTTACCAAGCATGACATATTTAAGGCTCAGAATGCCACTGACTGCGTGACTCCACCCACTGTTCCCTCAGCAGTCCACACTGGGACAGCCAAGAGCATACTTTTCTCATGTAGGCACAATATATGGCCTCAGCACTCATCACAACCTCTGACTGATAGGGCCAATCTCTGAAATGTTGGATTCTACAACTTGACATGGCTGTTTGCTAAGAAACTGTATTGTATGATTGGAATGCTTATATCATTAGCTGTATGATTTTTTGTTTTATCTCCTCAAATAGTATATATTAAAAGTCTTTGAGGTTTATGTTCTGTGATTCTTAGCTATTATGTTTGTTTTGTAGAAGTTATATGCTTGCTGTGTGCTCAGTTAATTTTGTAATAATGTTGTTGTGATTCATTTGTGTAACTCATTGTGCATTACAGAAGTGAATAAAGCAAGAGTCTGCTTCTGCAAAAACTTGAAATTGTAAAAAAAAGGGTAAAGCTGTCCCTGTAACAGGTCATGGAGGCCCATTGGGGTTGTGAGATGTTCAGGCTTCCACTGTTTCTAGACAGTTGGCTCACAGATGGTGGTGTGGTTGTCAGCCTTATGTGCCGGCTGCCCATAAAGAGTACACATCTGTTATAGTTTGAGTCAACTGTATAGTGTGACTGGAAGGATTAGGTAAATTGAAAAAATCCAATGACCACATCAGGAATCAAACCAATGACCTTTGAGCCTGTAGCATAGTGCCTCAACCAACTACAAGAGGGTTGGTAAAAATGAAGATTAAGACACATTTGTAGGTAAATGCTCTTACTGTAGTCAGGAATTTAAAATAATATTGTTTTTGGTAACAGGTGGCTATGATCGAAGAGGACCAGGTCGCCGTGATTTTGGCAGTGGTGGATTCCGGGATGGTGAACGTTTCAGGGACAGTTATGGGGACAAAGACCGTGGGTATGACAGCCGTGATGGTTATGGTGATCGTGGAAGATTTGGAGGAGAACGGGATGGCTATGGAGACAGGGATAGGTTTTTCAGCCGGCGTGGTGGTGATCGAGACAGGGATTTTGGAAGCAGAAGTGGTTTTGGTGCACGTAGGACCTATGGGTCTGGATCCGATTATGACAAAGAAGGTGGTGGTGGTGGTTTTAGAGGCAGAGATGATGGACCTCCTCCAGAAAGAGGTACTGACTTCAGCTCATTAAGTTTTATGTTTCTACATGTAGAATTTTAGTATTAATGTTATTTGACAGTCACAGAATTTGAAATGATAATGAACTCTTACAGCAGTGGAGGTTAGGAGTAGCATGGATAATTAAAAGCAGTGGAAAATCTGGGTACCATATTTATCTGAATGTAAGATGTGTTGTTTACTAATACTTGGGCATCTGAAAAACAGGCCTGTTTACATTTACACACTTTGAGAATACTGCACTTCTGCCCAGTCTTGTTATATTACTGGTAGTACTCTGTGGGTAATGTTAGTAGGATGGGATTTGTGGTTGTTTTGTAGTAGTCTCTCTATTTCAGTTCAAGGTCAAGGAAGTGTTTCCAACTAGGGGAAACCACCGCAGAAATGTGAAGTAGATCCATGGCTGCTTCATAGGCCTGTAATGTTAGCAACAGTCTGAGGGATAAAGTTTTAATGGGTGTAGTGTTTAATGTTGCTGGATCCACCCTTTCACATGCAACATGTCTTATATAAAACTTAAGTAGAAGTTATTCGCTTTACAAGTTTTGTGCATCACATAACTTTTTTAACTTTTTAAAAGTTTTTCACCACAAGTTTCAATAAATATTGTCATCATCAGGTTATAGTTGAGGAAACTGCTGTGCTTCTGTTGTCATGGCTTTGGTTATTACTATATGGTTCCCTCTGTGTGCATGTGTAATCACAGTCATGGATTGTTTTTCCTGTTGTGTTATGCTACACGTCTTTTATGTGTCTTGTTTGTATGTCAACGTTTATTTTTGTGAGAGCAAAAAGTAAATGCCTCAGTATAAATCATGGGAGATCATGTTCAAAAGAGAGGTTCTGAAGTGTCACAGATATCAGTATGCTGCTACAAAAATGAGCTTCAATTTAATGGTCATGAAGCATGCTGAAAACTGTGCTCTAGCACAAAAAACTGCAGCATTGCCCAAGTAAATGTTTAATGAAAGAGGAAGTTTAAAGTATCATTAAAGTGTGCTGATTCCACTCAGAACAATGCAAAGATTTGGAACCTTAGCAAAATGGGAAACGAAACCAATTCTAATATTGACGAAAGTTGGGTTTTTCCCCTGAAAATTAAAAATTAAAGTGGATCATCATCATATTTGCATAAATTATGTACATTATCTGTTAAAACATGTAATGAACTGTGGACTGTGGTTTATACTGTTTATGACGCTGGTCCTTATACTAGAAGATAGCAACACTTGTTCATTGTTAGTAGGCTCCAAAAACCAATAAAATAATAAAATTGATAGTTTCAACAGGGTGAGAGGATGTACAGTCTGTTGCAAATCATTATAAGGCATCAGTGATTCATACTATTGAAACAGGTGTGATTGGCAACACTTTAAATCATTACAGGAAGCTGTAGTCAGTACCTGAGTGGTTAATCTGCAAATCAGTTAATCCATCCATGCATAATTGAGAGAATGCTGTAGTTTATTATGATGATCAGTTTAGAAAATCCCCTGTTTAACATTTTTTATCCATTTAGAGCTCCCTTGGTTCATATTTGTGATCATTTTAACTGCTATCCTCGTATTTGTGTATTTTAGTTATAACCTTTAAGAGCCTAGCGACACCATATGGAGACCTTTAAAGTGTAGCCCAGTGGCCGTGCGACACCATATGGGTATGCGCAGTCCATGCGTGTGCACAGTGTTGTAAAATCTAATTTTAAGATAGAAATTCTTGTTCTCCTTGCATTATTTTTGGACACCCTCTTTATAAGTAGACAGTCTTCCTTTCTGCATCATCTAACTGAATGCAGAGTCCTACGTTGGAAGTCATGCACTTTGTCTGACTGTAACTCTGTTTCCCACGCGAAGAGCACACAGGACACCTCAGTCTCATATTAGAGGAAGTCGGCCAGTGATGTCGAGTAGCCTCCTCTAAGTGTAATGTGTATAAAACGTTGCAATTTCAACTATCCACCATGGCCTCATTTTGCATGGAAGAAGGCGAAATTGAGAGGCTGCTGATAAAAGACACCGATTCAGAATGTGGTACAGACGATTCTGAAAGTGGTGAGGAAGCAAAGGGGATATGTGGGGCTATTCCGAGAACAGTACCTCTGTGCGGTTAGTCCGAGATATACACAGTGAGAGTTTCTGCAGGACAAAGTACGATAAGACTTCGCCCACCCTCGTGCATACAGAAAGGTTCCGACATGACTGGAGAATGTGCAATACAAACATAAACTTCCTCCCCTTTTGCCAGATAAGACATAGTAACACAGGATGTCAGCAGCGTGCATTTATACTTCAGAAACGTTTTGTGCAGAAACTGTATTCATGTTTGCGGATAGACGCTCGAAATTGGAGAATTTTTTTTTTTTAATTAGTGTAACAATTTTTACAGATATTAAAATCTGTAAATTACAATATCTGATTCTATATTCTTTCTAGATAAAAGCAGTGTTTACTTTGTTGGTTTATCACAAAAATTGTAGAAATCACAGCATTTTCAGTAACATGCTTACAGTTTTTAATACTCTACAATGGCGAACATTTAAATTAACTCTGGCCTGCTGCCATTACGGGAAGTTAAATGGCCCGTCTCTTAAAGGATAATTGTTATTTTTTTTCCTGTAGCGGAACCTAGAAGTCGGCCACGACTCAATCTGCAGCGTCGCAGCAAACCCGAGGAACCTGTGGCCCCACAGGCATCCATCTTTGGAGGTGCAAAACCAGTTGACACAGCTGCCCGATTGAAGGAGATAGAGGAGAGACTGGAGAAGGAGAAGGGAGAAGTGCCACGGCTGCCCCCCAGAGACACAAGAAGTGAGGACAACAGGTATGCAGTATTTCATAGGTCTCTGAGCAACTTCTCTGTCTTCATGATGGTCTTAGGATGCGTGCTTGTTGACTTGTGGGTAATTGAAAATGCAGATCAGAACTGGATATAACAGTCCTATTATAATGATGCTTCCAACTATAGGGTTAGTAGATGGACTGACTTCCATATCAGGTATGTATGAGAATGGGTTTTCCAATTCAAGATGACAATTTTGAGAACTTCAGAGAATAGAGATGAGAATGAGACTCCTATTGCTAGACCAGTCCCTCGCTCCATAGTAGGAATAGAATGAGGCCCAGTAAGACATTTCCAGTGCCGTAGATTGGGCCTCAACCAGTAGGTCTTGAAATTTCAATTGAAGGATGTGACAGAAATTGCATACTTTATAGTACAAGGACTGTTGAGAAAGTAACCTTCATTTATTTCAGGGAAATACTGTACGAGCATGGGATAGCTTGAGCATGTGAGGTAATGTCACATGACTCATGGCGTTGTAAACTATTACATGACTGGTCAGGTAGTATTTGTTCTAATCTCAGCAGTGTGAATTATGATATGTACTGCAATTGATATTCCCACTAGCTGCGAAATTCATGCTCTTATCTACTTTCTTCATGCTAAAAACATGAGTGCTGCAGAAATCCATCTTGAATTGTACTAGGCTTATGGCCAGAGTGTAATGGGCGAAGGAACTGTAAGACAGTGATGTGGAATGTTCAGAGATGGGCAGACAAACAAATGTTCATGTTGAAGAGCAAAGTGGTTGGCCATCTGTAGTGAGTGATGGTTGATCTTGTTTGAAGTGTTGACCAAAAAATTTGTGAAAGATGGCAGTTTCACGGTTTCAGAACTTTCATGTGAATATCCACAGACAAGATTATCACAGTTAGTCTAGGCTATCACAAGTTTGGAGAACTATGCTGGTGCAAACTTATGCTGCTGGTAGAGCCACACAAGCCAGACAGATCAAAGATCAGGAGCCTGGCAAAGTGTAGTCAACTGCTCTTACAGGTTGTGGCTTAGGCTTAGGTGGTAGCCCATTCTCTCACATTGGTCTTTAGATAGTCTCTTATGTACGAGGGGGTACCCAAAAGAAACCGAACTTATTTTTTTTTAAACTTATTTATTCAAATTTTAAGCACAAACCTTCAATCCCCTTCAAAGTACTCTCCACTTACACTAATACACTTGTCTAGTCTTTTATTCCATTTTTCAAAACATTGTTTAAATTCATCTTTTGAGATGCTTGACAGCGCCTCCGTCGTTTTTTCCTTCACCTCAGCAACATCAGCAAAACGCTTTTCTTTCATGCCTCTTTTCATTCGAGGAAACAAAAAAAAGTTTTGATCATTACGGGACTCTTCTTTCAAAGCACAGCATGCTTCCATGCCACCTTGTTTTTGTTCAGCAGTCAGCAGTCGTGGCACGAATTTCGCAGCCACCCTTCTCATTCCCAAATCTTCTGTCAAAATTCGCTGAACTGAGCTCCAAGTCACTCCCGACAACTCCACAATTTCTTCAATGGTCCGCCGTCGATCTTCCTTGATGATTTCATGAATTTTTTCAACATTTTCATGTGTTCGGGCTGTGGAAGGATGACCAGAACGAGGTTTGTCATCAATTGACATTTCACAATTTTTGAAACGGGAAAACCACTCAAACACTTGAGTTTTCCCCATAGCATCGTCCTTGTATGCTGTTTTTAACATTTCAAGAGTTTCTGTTCCACTTTTCCGAGCAAAAAGCAGAATTTCACCACCACACGCTGTTCACGAAAATCAGCCATTGCAAAAAGAATCACACAAAACAGTTGTCACTATAAACTCTGCCGAAACTAGTCCTTACCTTCTGAAGCAACGGTAGTCAGCTTATCGACTCAGGAATGTTAGCTCTGTGCGCTCATAGCGGCAAAACGCGGTACTACAAAAGCTATGCCCACAAAAAAATTAGTTCAGTTTCTTTTGGGTACCCCATCGTACAGTACCTTCCCAGTTATCTGTATGCAGAATTTGTAGTTTGTGCTATCCCTGTACCTTTTTAGGTGCATTTTAATTTTAAAGAATGATGATGTAGATTAACCTTTAACGTCCGAATGTCAAGTATACAGGTCGCAAGCAGTAACTGGAGTTGGCTGAATGACCTGTTTACACGTCGCAGGACACATGCTCTCTTTGGGAGTGCTGGCAGTTTGACCTTGGGTTGGAAACCAAAACAAACCTATGTGAGGTCATGTCAGTGGTTCATTACTTAGCTCTGAACAAAGAAATTGTTTATCAGGGTACTGATTTCAATACTATTTACGTTTAGATATGACTGTTTATGACCTGCTCAGCCAAATATAGCCCAGCTTTGTTTCGAGAACTGGTGAGGAAATATTCATCAGTGCTTGCATGTGAGTGCTTCCACAGCCTTCAAGGAAGTGTGCCGCATTCAAGCATTGCTTTTCAGTTGCGAATTATCAGTCAGGAAGTCAGTGTCGGATTGTCTAATATTTCTTTATCAGTTAAAATGGCACTGTCAGACTGTCATATAATTCTTTGTATATCACTTTTATTTTGTCTTGGAAGAGGTCTAAATCCCCTGAGCCAGTATTACTTTATGAGTAAAGGCATTATCGCCACTGCGACTTTCAGTATGTGTCGCACTGGCACTCTTTTCGACTAGTATTATAATTACTTTGCATCAGTATTTTGCGAATATTACCAACAGGTGAGAGTGTCGCTTTGTTAATCAACATAATTTATTTGATTTTGCTAGAAACCCCCCTCCCCAAAGATGATTCTTCAATCGCGCAAGCCGAATATCACGGTCAGTGGCGTTTCTTGGGGGAAGGCCAAATTTATCAGGGGGCCCAACTGATTTGACTGGAGTTGAAAAAGTCACAACACTAGCCAACCAAAGGGAAACAAAGACGTCGTGTGTTTCACTAAATAAGAAAAGCAGGAGCACCCTCTTCTATTGTAAAAAGTGTGATTTTGCCGTGTGAAGTGGATGGTTTCGAGAAGTGGCACGCGTGTCAGTGTGACTATCATAGTGAAGTGACTGTGAACTCAAACTGTGAAGTGACGCAGTTCAAACTAGCCTACAGTAATATTATTGTATATAGAATGATCATATATACAATATCACCAAGTCTCAAAGCTGAATATCACAAGGCGAATATCATGGTCAGTAGCGTTTCTCAGGGGAGGTCAAGGTTACTTGGGGCCCAACTGAGTCGACTGGAGGTGAAACATTCACAACACTGGCAAACCAAAGGGAAACTAAGATGTATTTGTTCTCAAAATAAGAAGCACAGAAGCACGCTCTACTACGGTAAAAAGTGTGATGTTGCTCTATGTTTGTTTGGCTGCTTCGAGACGTGAGTTGTGCTATGCGTGTTGGGCTGCTTCGAGATGTTGCACACGCGCGTCAGGGTGTGAGTTATCGTAAATTGTGAAGTGACGCAGTTCAAACTCGCGTACAGTCTGAACAAAATATTATTGTATATAGTGTGATTATATTTACAATATCACCATGATTCAAGGCTGAAGAAAAAACAATGGGTAAGTCCTTTGGAATTTCATGACATATATAATAAAGATTATATTTTGCAATTCATGACAAAATAATCACAGTTAATTTTCATTTGTAAAAATTGCTCTTCTGTGTACATGTAGATAAATTCATTGTCTTTCAGGTTGTTTTTAGTTTTATATTTCTATGTTGCATAGAACGGAAAATATGGATTTTTTTCTGACGGTTTGCAAATTTAATTAATCAGGGTGATTTAAATACCGGCCACAGAGGGCTCCTGGCAATTTAAAAGTCTGTACGTTAAAGGTTAAAAATAATAATATAAGCAGATTTTTAGTGTATCTTCACAGGCCATAGTTGGCCCATCCATGGTGTAAATATGTTGGTTTAGCTTTAAAAATATGGCACAATGCGCACATATTTGTACATATTTGCATGCGTTGTGAATAGTAAATAAAATTGTGTTGATGTACAGAATGGGAGATGAAAGTGATTGTAAATTCCTGGGGAATTGCTGTATAGTGAACCTATACATGGTACTGAAAGTTTTCCAACCATGACAGTTGGTTTTCATTGCAAATTGATGCGCATTTTGAAAGAGTGAATGAGATGAAAAGGAAAGTGTAAAATTTTCTCTGAAATGCTGTATTTATGCAAGAAGGAGAGGAGTGTTTGGTATAACTGTTTATAAATATATTTACCAGGCTTAAAGGTCAATGTAATAGCTTCAGATACTTTTCCTCAGGTTGCATAAATCCACAGTGGTGAATTTGTAACTCGTGACTTTGTGTTGAGCCTGACTGCATTGTGGGAATGTCATGAATCGTATCTGGTGGTATTTCTAACAGTTTTTGTATGAGAAGGGGGAATAGGAGATTCCATACTTTGATAAGAATAGTGAGACCCAGGACACCCCTTGCTGAAGTACCTTATGAAAGTAGCCACAAGTTTAATGATACGTTTTGCTGTTGTGTCCCTGAAATAGGCGGGAAGAACGTGTCAGCAGGCCCAACTGTCAGTTGCGTGGCCTGCCCACATCCACACACTCATGTGAGAGGTGGGTCATTAGCTTTCTTGTCAAATTTGACTCCTGCAAAAAAAAAAAAAGGATTGATAGCTGTTTGTGATGTTTGTATTGTATCAAGAGAATTTTTTTATCATTTCAGCAGCTTCTGTATTTTGATCCATCTGCTTTAATAGTGGTTGCATATTTATCATCTGTTTGGCATGCAGCATCATTCTTTTTGATTGCTTGTTTCATTCTTTTTAGTTTGCCTCCATTTTGCTAGAGACGTACAAAATGTCCCAAGCATTTTAATGTTAGTGTACATAAAGGTAAGGTAAAGTTGTCCGTATGGTTAATTAATTAAGCACTACAGCATGATGGCATATGGGGGAGTGGGTGTATAGATCCACATTTTCTTGACCTTGGCACTAGTTGGAGGTGAGTGGTCAGCTTCACACCCTGGCTGCTTTACTCCTGGGGAAGAGCCCCTGGTACCTATTGGATAGAAGGTTGGGTGGACCCCAGAGCCAGTCTAGATGATGTGGAGAAGAGAAAATTCTTGACCCTACTTGGATTTGAACTCCAACCTCTTGGTCATCCAGCCCGCAGCTAGTCACTATACTGATTACGCTATCCCGACTCAGTGTACATAAAGTTTATGTAAATTACTGTCTTTTGGGGTGTGATGCTGTGTAGTCTGGTATATATTTACTGTTCTTGAGGAAACTGTTGCTTCTGTCATCAGGGTAGAAGAGTAAGTAGAGCATGGAAAAGAGTGATATTGATGTAAGTAGAAGTACAGCTGGGTCTGGGACCCTGAGGGACTTGGTAGGAATAAGGAAAACAACGTGAAAACGAAGAAAGTCTGTCCATAACCCTCCCATTGTGCCTTTACCACTGTTCATTGTATAATATTGTGATATGTAGACCCATTTCCCAGAAACGGCTGTGTAAACAAACAACAGTACCATAGCGATTGCTAGGGAACAGCTTTGTTATCACATTTCCCTGGAAATGAGGGAACACACAATAATGGAAGAAACTTTTCTGTAGGATCCATTCCAGGGCTGTATAGTGAGGATTAGTAGTTTTGTTGAGGCAGTTGAGAGTTGCATTTGTGAGGCGAGAAGCTGGTATCTGAAGCCAGGGATAGTTCAGGAACCCAGAAGAAGGGGAACATCTACTATTGAAAGCCACTACCAGACAACGGCTAGTGAAGACTGAGAAAACTTCATGTGTGTTGTAGTTACAGTGATCTGCATAACTCAATGAGGGTCTGTCATAGCTATTTGTAGTTACATTCTGTAAGTGTTCAGTAAATCCAAACCCCGTCTATAGTCACACTTACCTTGCATGACAATATTATGTTGATCAGTAAGTACTTGGAATACATGACCTTCACATATGTCAGATGCCATTCGACCAAACCTGGCTGATGCCTCACTCACAGTACATTCTGCATTCTTAAATGCCATTGTCAGGTGAGGGTTTGAAAGGTGGCGAACTGAGGAGGTGTGCAAGTCATGAGGATAGCCACAGTTCTTTTTTCTTTTCACCATTCTCATTTCCCTTAGTGGTTAGCTCAGTGTCTCGGTCCTCACTCTACTTCTGAGTACTAGGGAACAGATTCCTCCAAAATGTTGGTAACATTAACCAGACTTCATAGTGTCCCATTCAAGAATACAGTAATTTTCAGTAACTGGTCTCAGATCTTGTTTAATGCTTATGAACATTCTTGATACAAAAGGTTTTTTCTTTTCACACCATAGCATTAAATGTGGCCTCTTCCCATGTCTTTTAATCAACTTCCGTAGTCTGTGTGCAAGACTTATTGCATCTACATTTAAAAGTTCAGCATTCAGTCCGTCTGGTCCTGAAGCTCTGTTACTTTTTGTTTTTAAAGCTGTAAAATTCACCTCATCCAAGGTAGATATTGGTATTTCTTCATCTTCATCAGTAGATGCTTCTGTCCACTACGGAGGCATTTCCACATTATCAAACTGTCATACCATACAGATTCTGATAGTAGATAGTGACAGCAGAAGTAAAAACTGGTGCCGTTACTTCAGTGATACAAGTGAAAAACTGGCAGTTCAAATAATTGTTGCTGAGATGTAGGTTATGAAAAATTTTGTTTTAATGATTGAAAATGAAGTATGAAATCAAAGAAAATGCACCCTTTTAAGAGTCACATTACCAAGATTGATCACCTCTGAAACCTGGAGCTACTGTGATACAGAAGGGAGGGCATGGTAAGGTGAAGATGGCTGTTGTTGTGTAAGGCCCAAAACATATAAACCACTCAAACTGGAAGGTATACTTTGTATGGAGGGTAAAGTTTACATAACACATTAAAATATGCCGTTGAGAATGTGCATACTTTGTGCAAGTGATATGCATTTTGTTGAACTTTTTGAGAGAAATTATGTTTTACAACCTAAAATTTATGTAATTTAGAATGTGTGATGTGTATTGTCTCTGAATGTTTATGCTAATGCTATTTTGTTTCTCTATGTAAACTACCATATCATTTTAACATTTTGCATGTCAGGATAGCGCAGTTGCTATAGCAACTGACTATGAGTCGGATGACTGAGAGGCCAGAGTTTGAGTCCCGGTAGGGTCAAAAATTTTCTCTTATCCAAGTTGTTGAGACCGGCTCTCTGGTTCACTCAACCTCCTTTACAATGGTTACAAGGGACTCTTTCTCAGGGATAAAGTGGCTGGGGTGTGAAGCTGACCACTCACCTCCAACAAGTGCCGAGGTCAAGAAAGTGTGGATCTACGAATATGTAACTCATTTCATTTCATGAATTCACTTTGTAGCTTCATAAATAGTAATGAGATTTCCAGTATTGTTTTGTGTGTGGATGCTTGTGCATCAGTTCTGATTTGGCAGTGCTTTCATGTGCTAAACATGCTTGCAATGCTGTTTTCTTTAGGAAATTACATATATGCTTGCTCTTGTGGATTGAAAAAGTTAAGCTGTATTCAACCTTTTCTCACAAATTGACCATGTCACTGTCCCCACTGGGGCAGCTAGGAGCCACACTTTGTGGACATAAATATAACAGTCCCTGAAGAAGCTGAGACACCTTTGGAACCATTGCATATTAATTCTTGCTGAGTGCCAGAAAGAGTGCATTGCATACAGTTTCTTTGAACGTTTCAAATTAAGTACTGAACATCAGTGAAGAGAAGGAGGGGCAAGTGATATGATTATTTAAGCTTGTACAGTAGTTGGTAGGCTTTCTTAATTGCCTCACTGTACTAGAGTTAAGAATGTTGTAACCTCTTGTTGGTTATTTCATTTAAACTGTACCACTTCATGTACTTGATGTCTAGCAGTATTTTCTTCCTGTTGTTATTATTATTATGTTCTGCGTGTATTCTTCAAGTCGGACTGCTAAGATGTGGGACCTGTTTCAGCTGCATCTGAGGCAGACATAAAGTTGTCCACGTGTTTAATTACCATGCCTTGATGGTGCATGGAAGAATGGAGATAGGTCACATGAATATTTTTATGCTGTAAAGGTGTGGACTGTATAATATCAAATGGTAGGATGATTGATGAATTAGTGTTTGGATGGAAGTAGTCGTGGCCTAGACAGTGTATTATTCCAGCATTGCCTGGAGGAACTGAGGAAAACCATGAGAAAACTCAGTCAGGGTATCCAGCATCCCAGGTTAGACTCAAACTGAACACTTCCTGAATACAAGTCTAAAATGTTACCACTTGACCAGCCTGTTAGTCTCATGAATTATTAAACCTCAGTGTGAAATGAAAGTTGGTTCTCAGCTTCATGCCGTATCTGCTTTCCCCTGCTGAAAGAATGAATCAAATGCTTGGCCAGATAGGCTTCTGAGCCACTTTGGACTCACGAGGTGAGGAGAAAATTGTGCCCCAGCAGGGAGTTCAACTTCTGTTGCCCAGCATATGACAAGTAATTTTGCTGAGCTGTGCTAGCTCACTGAATTTAAGAAAATTAAAATTTTGAATACAAAGTGTGAGATTAAAGCAATTTCAGACATGTTTGTGTTGTACCACTATTGCCTCTTATTTCCAGGTCTAAGAGTGGAAGTGAGTATGGTGACCGAGATGACGATGTTCCAGCCGAGAAGCCACCCACTCCAAGGAGAATGGAGCCTGCCCCACCACCTAAGGAGAATGTTTGGGTTCGGCGATCACAACAAAGTCAAACCCCACATACTGATGATTCTGCAGTAAGCACTAGTGTTGATAGTCACACAAGTACATGTATTTGCTGTGCTTTGAGTCATTAGATTAATGAATGTAATCTGTTTTAAGACAGGCAGTCTAATATCAGGGCCTGTCTTTATCTTTTAAGGCACACTGGTTACTACTGTATGAAATGTAAAGGTAAAGTTGTCCTGTGATTAACTAAGCACTATGCCATGAAGGTGTGTGGTGGAGTGGATGTATTGGTCCACATTTGCTTGAGCTCGGCATTAGTTGGAGGCAAGTGGTCAGCTTAGTGCCCTGGCTGCTTAACCCCCCCCCCGGAAAGAGTCCACACTACCCATTGGATAAGAGGTTGGGTGAACCTCAAGAGCCAGTCTGGTTCGCTGTGGAGAAGAGAACATTTTTTACCCTACCAGCACTCAAGAACTCCGACCCCTCAGTCATCCAGCCCATAGCCAGTTGCTATACTTACTACGTTGTCATGGCCCCTACTACTGTATGTACCATGGGTGAACCTCAAGAGCCAGTCTGGTTCGCTGTGGAGAAGAGAACATTTTTTACCCTACCAGCACTCAAGAACTCCGACCCCTCAGTCATCCAGCCCATAGCCAGTTGCTATACTTACTACGTTGTCATGGCCCCTACTACTATATATACCATTGTCAGTATGGTGTCTGTATTGTGCCAACAGTATATTTATGGGTTTTGTACTCTTCACAGAATAAACAGTATATTATCCAGTTGAGCTATGTAATGAAGATGCACTGCATTTTCTGTGAGGAACTGAAATATTTTGACAGATTTTTAAATGTGGATGAATTTCAGGCTTCAGAGGGCTGAAAGGAATATGTGCTTGTTTGTTTCACCATGTATAAGCTTCACTATAACTTAAACAGCAGTTACCTTGGCTCTGCAAGTGATACATAATTTTTGGTTCCATATTAGTATCCTTAAGAACTTCTGTCACATTACTATCACTCTCTGTAGAACTAACATCCAAATCTGTTTCCTCAGGAGATTCTAAAATCTCTTTGGATAGAAGTTGCGTAAGTTCACTGGATATGGCTGCTGAATGCAGGTTATGAAGATTACTGTCATCTGAGACGTGACATTATATTTGTTGGTAGATAGGTACGACAGTGCCTCAAAAATTTAGTTCATATCTGCCAAATGACATGGCATCACATCTCAGAAGCACAGTAGATTACTAAAGATTGTGGTGCAAGGGCCAGTTGTTAGGCCTACTCCTTATATATGTATGTACAGGGATTGAACAAAATAATGGAAACACTACAGATACTGTACACATTTCTTTATTGATATGGTGTTGGACCATCGTGTGCTTTTGATACATGTGCTTTAAGAACATCTTCAGGTTGCTGTATGCGTGTTGGAGGTGGGAATCTGTTCCTCTAGTCTTGCAAACTGACCAGAGTGGTCAGTAACAAACTGAGAACACTAGACTGTATGCTCTAGTGAACTATGAAGTGTGTTGAAATAGTGATAGTATTATAGTCATTTATAGGTATGACCTGTAAGTCTTAAATAAACCTGTTCACCAATCGAAACCCTGTCTATAGCCACACATACTTTGTGACAGTATTGTACCATTTAGCCCGGGTCTGGTCAAGTGGGATTTGTGGTGGAGAAAGTTGTTCTGGGCAGGTTTTCTCCAAGTACTTCGGTTTCCCCTGCCAATCTTCATTCCACCAATTGCTCCACAATCACCCTCACCTATCATCTGGGGCTGGTACAATAGGCCAGAAGTGGCCGCAGTACAAGGAACTTAGTCCCACCCCACTAGCAATAAAAAAATTTTGCCATATCCTTCCCACTCCACAGTCTGAGCAGATGTATGTTGTCAGGAAGTACTTGGATTTTGTCTTAGCCACATACTGTTGTGACTGTCATCAAATCTACATGGGATGTGAAAGGCATTATGATATAACATTTGAGTGTTTCGTGGCATTGAAGGTACATATTGTGTGATCTAAATTATGAGACCATATGGTCTGATGGGTAGATATAAGCATTTTGAAAGAACACTATGTTTCTGCCTTCAAGATAGAGGCAGTATGATCCTCTGGTACCCACCTATGAGACTACACCACATTGTCACAACTGAGATCACAGTATCAGCAGAGATAGAATCAAAAACAGGGTTCGAGTATATGAACTGTGCAGCTTTTGTTCCTGCATGAAAAATGTCACAAGATTACAGGGTGATTCTAAATTGTTGTTAGGATTTCTGTGGCCTATAATTTTCAAACTGGAAACAACGAAATAAAACTGCGTATGGAATATGAAAGTGCAACTCAAAAAGTTTTATTTGGCAGCGCTGTACTCACTGCATTGATGTTTGGGAGAAAATATGTCATACCTCAAAATGGTGACTATTTAAGACAAAGCAGTTTGTGTACTTCAGTTTTTCAAAACAAAGTTTGTTACCAAAACACATCGTCGTCACAGAACTTACTATGGAAAAGATCCACCTTCAGATAATGCTATCTGACATTGGTTAAAACAGTTTTGAGAGACTGGTAATGTTCTGCACCAAGAAGGAGTGGGAAGACAGGACAGGAAGCTTGGACATCTTGTGTGCCAAGAAAGGTGCACATATTGAAGTTGTTTAGCATTCTGTGATATCGAATCAACAAGTAATAAAACTGCTGAGTTACAATTTCATATTCCGTAAGCAGTTTTATTTTCTGGTGTGAAAATTATAGGCGACGGAAACCTCGACAATAATTTAGTATCACTCTGTTAAAATTTTACTTTAGAATTCCACCTGTTGAAGTTTTACTTTAGAATTCCGCCAGTTACTTTCATAATACCAAAAGCAAGAACTTCAGTATGCAAGAAATAAAAAACCCTTTTGTTTCATAAAAATTGTTTCAAGTTACGCAGGTGTAAGCCACTGAATTATTTAAATTCATCATTTCTTCTGTAGTTTTGAATGGATTCAGTTAAGGGAATTAGAAGTCTGAAATAAGTAGCCTCTCCACTGTAGAAATTCTCCCTTTTAATGGCATTTTCAGTTCATGTTTTAAATAAAATTGCTCTCCAGAGATATCTTAAATCCAGTGAATACCCTTCACAGTACTTTCTTCCTGTTGATGCAGTTCACACAAAGGATACGGAATCCTGGATGTAACAGATATGTTGTTTTGAAATAGCAGTATCAGTAAAGTAAGCACATGCAGCTGGTAGTGATCATATTTTGTTGTCACTGACCAAGGTGTGTTGTGTGCAAAAGTGATTCTTCCATCAGACACCACTTTCTAGACAGATACGGAGAGTGGTCGTAATAGGAAGCACATTATGCTTTGTGCATTTTATATATTAGTTCCTGTATGTTATTATAGCTTAACTTGTAAAAAGGTAAAGTTGTCCCTGTGCTTAACTAATTAAGCACTACACCATGAAGGCTTATGGGGGAGTGGATGTATTGCTCCACATTCTCTTGACCTCGGCACTAGTTGGAGGGGCACATGATAATATAGTTGGCTGAGGCATTATGCTACAATCTGAAAGGTTACGGGTTCTATTCTTGATGAGGTCATAGGAATTTTTAATTGACCTAATCCTTCCAGTTGCGTTATGGCCCCAGGGTTGACTCAGCATCTAACACAAATGAGTACCAGGAATCTTCCTGGGGGAGTAGCTGGCATGTAAGACTGACAACCTCACCACCATCTGTGAGCCAACTGTCTAGAGAAAATGTGAGCCCAGTGGGGTCAGGAATTTTCACTTCTCCATGTCATCCGGAATGGCTCTGTGGTCCACCCAACCTCCTATCCAATGGGTACTAGGAGCTCTTTCCCCAGGGTAAAGCAGCCTAGGCATGAAGCTGGCCATTCACCTCCTGCTAGTGCCAAGGTCAAGAAAATGTGGATCTATGCGTCCAGTCCCCCACACGCCTTCATGGTATAGTGATTCATTAGTTGAGAACAGGGACAGCTTTACCTTATAGCCAGTTGTCATGTGTAGTTGCTGGTAGGATTTTAACTATCTGAATATTGTTGGGTTTGAGGCTCTCACAGGGGCAACTATGAAGAGTAGGTTGTGCAGTAGCTCCCAGCATGGCAACCTGGATTCAGTGCAAGGTAAGGTCATATGGGATTTGTGGTGGGTAAAGTCACACTGGGGCAGGTTTTCTCTTAGTACTTCAGTTTCCCTTGCCAATTCTCATTCCACCAACTACTCCGCACTCATCATCCATCATCTGGGGCTGGTACAGTAGGCCAAATAGTGGCTGACATACAAAGTGGGACCCAGTTTCATTCCACCCTGAGAAATAAAAAAATAATACAACTATGAAGTATGTGACACTGAAGCCCGTTCACTGACATTGTATAGGACTGTGCTGTCTCCATTTTTCAGCTTCTTGCTGGTTACTTGTTTGGTCTACTTTTTGATCATGAAGATGGAGGCAGTACATTCATTTGAAATATTTATGAATTTCTATCAGGCCACATGGTGACACATCCTCAAAATTGCTCTGTTTATCTAAATATTTTGCATTTTTCAGGAAGGAAATGGCCATGTGAGTCCACACAGTGATCATTCAGATCACGAACAGGAGCACAGAGGAAACCGACGAGATTCACCACGTAGGCAGCAGACACAAAGATCTGACTCTCCTCGTCGGTACCATGAACCTGGTGACTCGGAGAGGAAGACGCAAAACAACCGTAGCACCCCACGTAGGCAGTGTATGTTTCTTTCAGAATTTGCAGACATTGGATCCTGTTACCAGGTTTCATAGTAATAGATATTTATAGTGTTATAGATACGAAGGTCGATTAATAAGTACCCGTGTTTGAAGACAGGTGGTGTTGCTGAGGGAAGTTGGCATTACCATCGTGTACTGCCATCTGTCAAACGACACCATGCTAAATTTCAGACTGATTCATAGGTTAGTTTTTGTTTGGCAGCCAGTTGCATCAGACATGTTTCGTCTTTCTCGATACAATGGAAAAAGTGCAATATTGATCTGTAATTCACTTTTTATTTTTGGATGGAAAAACATGTGAAGAAATAAAAGTGAAGTTGGATGCTGTCTATGGGAACCCTTCACCATCTATGACAACCGTGAGATATTGGTTCAACGAATTTAAACGTGGTCGTACATCTGTTTTTGATGAGGAGCGACCAGGCCGCCCGGCACACGTGGTTACCGAGGAAATCGTTGAAAAGGTCCATGACATGATTTTTGCTGATCGCCGAACTAAAGTGCGCAAAGCAGCAGAGGCTGTAGGCGTGTCGTACGGAATGGCAATCAGTATTTTACATGATAAGTTAAGTATGAGGAAGGTGTCGGCCCGATGGGTGCCGCGATTGCTCACGGTGGGCAACAAGCGGATATGGCTGTTAATGTCGAAGCAGTGTTTGGACCTCTTTAAGCGAAATTTGCACGAGTTTTTGTGTCGAGTCGACACCGTTGATGAAACCTGGATACATTATTATACGCCAGAGACCAAGCGACAGTCAAAACAATGGATTCTTCCGGGTGAATCTGCTCTGAAGAAAGCAAAAACGGTCCCATCGGCCGGAAAGGTCATGGCCACGATTTTTTGGTATTCGAAGGGAATAATCTTCATGGACTTTTTGCAGAAAGGAAGAACGATCAGTACTACAGTGAATTATTGGACCGATTCGATAAGAAATTGAAGGAGACACGGCCCCATTTGGCTAAGAAAAAAGTGCTGTTTCACCACGATAATGCACCAGCACATTCATCTGGAATTGTCGCGGCCAAATTGCATGAACTGCGCTACAAATTGCTGCTGCACCCACCGTACTCGCCCGACCTGGCTCCCTGCGACTTTTTTCTGTTCCCCAACATGAAAACTTGGCTCGGGGGGGGGGAATTCAGCTGAAACGAGGAGGTTATCGCCGAGACAGAAGCGAATTTTGAAGAGTTTGACAAATTGTATTTTTTGGAGGGGTTAAAGAAATAGCAGAAGCGTTGGGAAAAGTGTATTGACCTCAAAGGAGATTACGTTGAAAAATAAAAAAAAAAATTGAAAAACTTGTGTCTTTATTCCTAACACGGGTACTTATTGATCGACCCTCGTAGTGTAGATAGTTACTGGGAAGTTTCTTTCAAAGCTTAGGTCTGAAAGTTTACAAAATAGTGTTTATTAAGTCAGTACACACGAGAATATGAATCATCAAAGCACATAGTTGTACAGCAGAAAGCAATGTGCCTTAAGGAGGACTGAAGAGATTGTGTGATGTAGTGGTGGACAGCATCCCCTTTTGAACATAGACTACATGAATCAGTGACTAATATTTTCCTTCCATCTTTGCTTACATCTCACAAGTTATATTCTTTCATCAGATTTCATGTCAGAACCTTTCTACATGTACAGTCTTCTCTCCTTAACATCCTGCATGTACCACCCATCTGATCCTCCATGATATGATCATCCTAATAATATTTTGTGCAGCAAAATATATCGAGGTGTAGAAGGAAAACCCACTTAAATCCAGAAATGAAGTTAAGTCTAGAAATGAAGCTTCTGAGATAAATAGACTTAAAAGGTTGACTCATTACGAAACATAATGGGACAACAGAAGTGATTCTAATTGTCAGTAGTATTTGTGATACTGCAGCTCCTTGCTGGCTGACAGTGCTTTGGGTTTCAGTGGCTCAGTGGATATTGCAGTCCCCTGCCACCATCCACTCATTTTGTTGATTCTTTTTCCCCTGGGTTGTAAACAGTTGATAGATTGGGGCAGTCTTGACGTACAGTTTCCCAAACAGACTAGTTTGGTAACAGGATTATTCACTAATTTGGAAACAGGCACAGTTAACCTTTATGAGCCGAAGGACACCGTATGGGGACCTTTGAAGTAAAGCTGAGTGGCCGAAAGACACTGTATGGTGACTCGCAGTCCACGCGTGTGCACAGTGTTTTAAAATCTAATTTTAAGATAGAAATTCTTGTTCTACTTACATTATTTTTGGACACCAGCTTTATAAGTAGACTGTCTTCCCTCCTGCATCATCTAACTGAATGTTGCATGTAACTGAATGAAGAGTCCAACGTCGCAATTCATGCACTTTTTCCATGTGTAACTCTGTTTTCCACGCGAAGCGCGCACACGCAACATCTGTCTCATATTAGCAGGAAGTAGGCCAGTGATGGCGAGTGGTCTCCTCTATTCGTAACCCTTAAAAACATGACAATTTCAACTATGCACCATGGCCCCATTTCGCATGGAAGAAGACGAAATTGAGAGGCCGCTCATAAATCACACCATTCAGAATGCGGTACAGTCGGTTATGAAGGGACGATGACGCAAGGGGCATTGAGGGGAATATTCCAAGAACAGTAACTCTGTGTGGATAGTCCAACATCCATGTATAAACATGCACAGTTTCATAAGGACAAAGAAGGATAAGAACTCGCCCATACTGGTGTATACAAGAAGCAGACTGACTGGAGAATGTGCAATGAAAACAAACTTCCTCTCTCCTCCAGATAAGACATAGTCAGACCGTGTGTCAGCAGCATGCATTTATACTGCAGAAACATTTTATGCAGAAGCTTTATGCATTTTTGTGGACAGACACTCAAAATTGAGGAAATTTTTTTTTTTGGAATCAATGTAACAATTTTTACAGATTCTAAAATCTGTAAATTACAATATCTGATTCTGTATGCTTTCTAGATAAACATAGCGTTTATTTCGTTCATTTATCACAAAAATTGTAGAAATCACAGCATTTTCAATAACATGATTACAATTTTTATTACTCTACAATGGCGGGCATTTAAATTAACTCCGGCCCGCGGCCATTACCGGAATTTAAATGGCCCATCCCTTAAAGGTTAATATATTTCAGAAACCTCACATTTGGTTTGAAACATCTGCTCTTATTGGGGACTTCCTTGTGTTCACTTATAATACACTCAGATTAATGGGTTTCAGCACTTGGATGCATTTCACTCCCCTTGATACTATAGCCATTGGACCAAGTCTCTTTATGTAAATGCCCAGCTGTGCAGACCACCCTCGAAGTGTACAGTTTTTGCTCTTAACGAACATTACATCTGGGTGTGTTGTTCCTCTCCTTGGGCTCGGCACGTAGAGACTGGAATGCAATGGTCAGGCAACCCATCTATCTCTCTCTTAATGCTAAGACATCAGAGCTTCACCAGGGTCCCTAGCCTATTGTTAATTCATAATTATTAAATACTTCAAATTAACCAAGAGGATGAATGTATGGGTATAGTGACTTGGTGGCATTTCTCTGCATAGTACAGTTCAAGAGTCTAATCTTGAGAGCTATGAGGAATGCAGAAGTCTGAACCATTAAAGGAGCAGCAGCAGCATGAATCAGCAACTACTACCTGAGTCAAACCATTCAGTACATACTCTATAGTGGCTGTGCAAGCTCCATGTTACTGTCTTCATCAGGCATAATATTATTATACTCAGTGTCAGTTTCACTGCTGAAATGATGTTTCTCTCTGTAGAGAGACAAACAATTGCTTTAGTTCAGTGTCCAGCATACTTAGTGCCTCGTAACTTTAGCTGCGCGGAAAGGTAAACACTGTTATGGAGCAAGCGAAGCTGTACGCTTGCTGTGGTGACGTTCAGAGCTACTCATCGAGTGGAGAACATTGCCTATGGAGACCAACTAACAAGCAACACAACGTACTATACACCTGACCGAACTCCAAGACGCTACATTCCAAACTGGTAGTACCCACGCTGATGTAAGCTGACTGCTCCCCTAGCTCCGTGAGAGATGGTATGACCCCTCTACCACGGCTAGAGTTCTGAGGAACTAACAGTATGCCCTAAAGTGATGCAATACACGGTAGGCCTGGTTCTGTCCTTTCCACCCTCACCCCACTTCCTAGCCCAACAAGTGTCGAGATTAGAGTTTTGGTCAGTACATGCAATTCAGGACTGCAGTATAACTTGGTGGGGGGGGGGAATTAATTGTAATTCCTTGTAAGTGCGTGATATGTAAGAATGGTAAGAATGCATTGAAAGAATATAAAGGTATGAACACTGCCAGTCTCCCTATTGAAGATGCTTAGAAGGTTCTCATGAACTACGAAAAATCCTGATATCTGATTTTCATAACCTATCATAAAGTCAAGATTTTACCTACTCACTCGGCACGTGCAGGAGATGTATTTTCTTGCTGCATGTCTGCATGTTCCCTGACCAGTGTTTTTCTGTAAATGGTTTGTGGGATTTGAGGTTCTCATAGTGATGAATATGAAGATTTCCATCTTTTGTGGTGTGATGACGTATAATCTGATAGAAAGTTATCAGTGTATTAGAGAAACATGCTGCCTCTTTTGCCAGGGAGGAAGATTAACCTGATGATGGAGGTATTAAATTATTCTGAAATATTAGTTACTTTCTACCAAAGTAGAGAGTTTTACATCCCAGAAGACACAAATCTATGGTTGGTTGTTTATTAAATGTCTCTGTATGTCCAGTTCGGTTTCATTAGACATCATTCCTACAGTTATGTTGTATCAAATATAATAAAGGAATTAAATTTGGTTCATATAAGCCACAAGACCTTTTTGTTTTATCTTAGAGATGTTCGAGTGACACCCATTCAGTGATTGTTCTGAGTGAAAGAGTAAAAGGTAAAGTTACACTTAATTTATTAAGCACTGTGCCATGGACAAGGGGCACGCAGTAGCATAGTTGGTTGAGGCACTATGCTACAAGCTGGAAGGTTGTGGGCTTGAGTCCCAATGAGGTGTATTTTATCAATTGATCTAATCCTTCCAGTGGCACTATGGCCCTGGTATCGACTCAACCTCTTAACAGAAATGAGTACTGGGAAACTTCTAGGGGTTGAAGGGTGGCTGGTGTATAAGGCTGACAACTATACTGCCACCTGTGAACCGACTGTCTATAGAAAATGGGAACCTCGAAGTCTCTCAACCTTATGGGTCTTCATGTCCTGTTACAGGGAAAGCTTTACCGTTTTTCTTTTAAACTCACTGTGTAGCAGTTTCACTGTGCTTTCATTGAATTACATTTCCGTTATTTTCATTACATGGGTTTGTTGTTATGGGATATTTTTCATGGTGGAAAAGTTCATTTAAGTTTATAAAATAATGGTTTTCCATTGATGATACTATACACAATTTGTTGTCCAATAGACATAACTTGGATTTGTCTGCACAGCGATTGTGTGTAAAACATCCATTTTTTTTTTTGGCAAAATGGGATTCTTTTACTAATTTCCAGCAGTGTTTCACTGATTTCCTACTGTTCAGATTGAACAGTCTTGAATTCTGTTCAAATTCTTATGTGAGCAGATGACAGAGATGACAGAGGAGGACGAGGACATCCGTCTAGAGGGGGTGGATCTGCCCGAGGTGGAGAGAGGCAAAGGGGAGGACGAGGAGAAGGCAGGCAAATTGTTGAGAGGTGAGGGTATATTTCTTCATAGTTTAATAATGGTGCAGTCGGTGACTTGGAGTATGTAGTGTCAGATGATTAATGGTAGTGAATAACATATTGGAAAGGCTGTTTACAGTTTACAGTATTGGAGTATTTCCATTTCAACGGACTGAAGAAGGTCATGAAATACTTCAGCCTAGATAGGTGGTTGAATTGGGCACCTTGCAGGTAAGAGGACTAAAGCATTACTGCTCAGGCCAACTCTTAGTGATATGTGTCTATTGAATTTCCTATTATGGAGTGGAATGTACAATTATTTATTTTTATACTGATTTTAGAATTGTTACATTAAGATTTTCACTCCTCAGTTTAACTGTGTGTTTTGTTTTTCTCATGACTGGAAGACAGCCTCACCATTTTATATTGAATTGAACCATTCCTTATTTCTGCAGTCTACCGGGCACAGTACTTTATGTAGACACACATCATAAAGAACAGTTTGCTCTGTTATATAAGCTGAGAAGTTTAGATACTTAAAATGTCACACACAGTCAGTGATAACTTGTGTCTTCTGAGTGGGAAGAGGAACCAGGTTGTTGGCACAAGATTCAGAGTGAAGGTTTAGAGACTCGGATTTATATTGCTTCACGTCCATTTGGGTAAAATGAAGACTTAATTTTGGATAACAAGAAATAACATCATGGCTGGTTGCTGTTGTTAACACTGGTTTCTGTTGACAGCAACTGATATTTGATATGATGGAGTGTTCACATGTGAGAAAGACAATTACTGGTTTGTATGCTGAATTTGTAGTTAGTGTCGTTAACAGTAGGACAGTACATTTTTTTTGTAGTAAGATATGCATGAAATACATGTTTAAGTTCTCTCTCCTATGAATTAATGGGACCTGAAGTAGATGAGAGAGAAGAAATTTAATATAATCAGTCAAGCTGGATCTGCATATATGTCATATGAGTTCACTTACGCCAGTCCTAGCTGAAAGCATATCATTGTTGAATGCTTATAGGTGGTTGTAATGCAAGAAAATACCTTGATTATAGGAATTATGTATTCACTTATCTTTGTTATTACTGTTCTTGTCTGTGTGAATATTTTGGTATGTTTGTTAAGACCTGTAGATTTTTTGCAGACCGGAAACAAACATGAAGTTCTAAGTAAGGTTTGAGGTTTTCACGGCAGTGACTATGAAGAATGCCATCTTCTGGGATGTGGCACCATGTAGATATTGTGTTAACTGACATTTCAGAGGAATGTATCACCTCCATCCGCTGGTTGATCACTTGCTGATTTGTTATACCCTGAAGATGGAGGTGATACATTCCTATGAAACATTAGTCAACACAATATCTACATGGTGCCACATCCTAGAAGATGACATTCTTCATGAAGTTCTAATTTCCCAGCGAAAGAAATCTTCTCCTGAAATAAATCGTCAGTCCCATTGTCTTTTCTTAAGAATTCCCTGTGATATGAAATTTGAATATTTAACCTAAAGCATGATGTTCTGCTGTTTGATCTTTCAGAACTGTCACTATATAAATTTACCCAACAGAAATTATTTTCTTAGCCTCTTTCCATATTTTGAAAAAATAAATGTATCCTTCTGAGATTGCCTTGCTGTCTGTTTATCCCCCCCCCCAACAAAACAGCTTTTGAATGAAGAGTACTATCTTCTGGGATACAAGGCCATGTAGTTTGCTGAAAGTCAACCGGCATTTCGGAGGAATGTATCACCTCCATCTTTAGGGTCAAATAAGCTGAGCAACATACCAGTGTGAAAGCAGGTGGCAAGCTGAGTAATTGGCTGGCCAGAAGTTTTGGATTATGTAGGATTAAAACCAGGTTGAAGGAGTACCAATGATATATCTATCAAGAGCAGTGGTTCTCAACCTTTGTGAGACTGTGGCCTGGTAAATTATTTTTTTATATTACTAGGGCCCAGTATAACCTTTAAGAGCCTAGCGGCACCGTATGGAGACCTTTAAAGTGTAGCCAAGTGGCCATGCGACACCGTATGGGTATGTGCAGACCACGCGTGTGCACAGTGTTTTAAAATCTAATTTTAAGATAGAAATTCTTGTTCTACTTACATTATTTTTGGGCACCCGCTTTATAAGTAGACTGTCTTCCCTCCTGCGTCATCTAACTGAATGCAGGGTCCGACGTTGCAATTCATGCACTATGTCTGGATGTAACACTGTTTCCCACGCGAAGAGCACACATGACTCCTCAGTCTCGTATTAGAGGAAGTCGGCCAGTGATGTCGAGTGGCCTCCTCTAATCATAACGCTTATAAAACATCGCAATTTCAACTATTCACCATGGCCTCGTTTTGCATGGAAGAAGCTGAAATTGAGAGGCCGCGATAAATGACACCGATTCATAATGCATACAGACAACTCTGAAAGTGGCGAGGAAGCAAGGGGGATGTGCAAGGCTATTGCGAGAACAATACCTCTGTGTGGCTAGTCCGAGATATACACAGTGAGAGTTTCTGAAGGACATAGTACGATAAGACTTCGCCCACACTTGTGCATACGGAAAGGTTCCGACGTGACTGGAGAATGTGCAGTACAAACATAAACTTCCTCCCCTTTTGCCAGATAAGACATAGTAAGACAAGATAGCAGCATGCATTTATACTGCAATTTTTACAGATTTTAAAATCTGTAAATTACAATATCTGATTCTATATTCTTTCTAGATAAAAGCAGCATTTATTTCGTTGGTTTATCACAAAAATTGTAGAAATCACAGCATTTTCAGTAACATGCTTACAATTTTTAATACTCTACAATGGTGGACATTTAAATTAACTCGGCCTGCTGCCATTACAGGAATTTAAATGGCCCGTCTCTTAAAGGATAATTGATGCCAAGGTCCTGTACCAGGCTGTGGCCTGGCGGTTGAGAAACACTGGTCTAGGACTTCTGGACAATAGGCTGTGGCAGAGCACAGTATCAAAGGGGCACCGCAACCAGCTACACCATACTGCCATCCTCTCCATCAAACCCAGTTATATGGATTGCATCATGAGGGAGGCACTTGAGATTGAGCTTTGTCCCAACATTATGAACATGGAGGATGGCTTCTGTCTGAGCAAGTCATGGAAACCTCTCATTTGCTCCCTGAAAGATCATAGTAAGCCTTCATCACATGACAGCAGATTTGGGTTCTCTGTGGGGCCATGCAGGTCCATGCTCACTGCCCTCACAAGGCACTCAGTAGACTCCACCCTGATGTTCTGGCTTCCTTCCCCTACCCTGCTCCCTCATCCCTCCACCTCATGCCAGCCACTCACTTGACCTCTCTCCCAATCACTCTTTGTCTGTTGTTTTCCTAGACCAGCAAAACCCAGCCCTTCTCAAATCCATCCGTAATGCCTGTTCTTGTGTTCTGTTGGTTTGCTCAGTGGCTGTGTGAGAGCCTGGCAGCCTGTCCAATGGTGAGCCAGTGGGTGCTGAGGTCCACCCTCTCATATTCCTCCTGCTTCCTGTATGATCCAAAATTTCTGGCCATTGAATTACTTGGCTTACCATATAACTTTCACACTGGTATCGTTCTTGGCTTATTTGACCCTGAACATGGAGCCTGTGTGTTCCTCTAAAACGTCAGTTGCTTTTCAGCAGATTACACGATGTTGTATCCCAGAAGATTAGTACTCTTCATAACCACTGCTGTGAGATCCTCAGATCCTTTTGAATGCCTGAAGCAGTCTTTGAGAAACTCCACATGTGTCTCACAGTTCTGAGGCCCTCTCAACTTCTTACTTCATAAATCACTTTCATCAGTAATACGAACATTAAAGCCACTCAGATTGCTGAGGCAAAACTTTAATATTGTTTGAATGCCTTGATGTAGGCCTGTATCATGTTACCTATGACCATCTGAACTGTGTATGTTGTAAATACTTCCCATTGGTAGTACCAACATTGTAGCCTCTCAGATTGTTGAGGTAGACCTTAATATTACTTGAATGCCTCAACTGATTGTCATCAATCTTCGTATGAATGTCATGTACCTGAGGCCATTTCAGTGGCATGCTTCATAAATCCCCTCATCAGTAATACCAAACACTGCAGCCTTTCACATTGTTGAGGAAATATTGCTGAAACCACTGCACCATCATGAAATCTGGAATGTACAAGTATATCATACCATCCAAGGCCATGTCAGTAATATAGTTCTTAAATCTCTCCCTTCAGTAATACCAGTCTGTCAGAAAGTCTCTCCTGTCCTATAGCCATCCTTACCTTTCCATGGCATATGCTGTTCTCACTGATAAGGCTTTGGCTACGACTTTACCACTTTAAATTGTTTTAGTACATGCACTGTTTGGGGGTATGCAGTAGATGCAGTATGCATACAGTAGATGGTTGGAAGTCTTAGCCAACTGGATCTTGAGTTGTTCAAGTTTTCTAAAATTGGGATATATACCAGGTCCCTACTGGTTATGCAAATAAGATCTAAAAGTTTGTGATGATGGTAAATTGTTACAATTAATATTTTGCTGGACATTATCCATCATCTTGTCTATTCTAAAAAACAGTCTAATTTCTATTAAAAACACAACGTTTCGGGAACTGGATTCTGTCCCCGTCTTCAGGTAAAACCTACTCAGTTGGGTCCAATAGACAGAGCTAGCCCCTATCTCCGGACAACTATGCCAATTTCCGAAGGGATTCATAAAAGAAGCACAACTTAATCCATCTGTGGGAGCTAAGATATGTTGAAGCTATCATAATTTGAGGCTTAGCACCAGAGAAAGAAATCATACCGGGAGAGAAGCAATACTCCTTGTGGTATACAAGCACAACAAAATCATCTGTGGGAGCTAAGAAATATTGAAGATATCATAATTTGAGGCTTAGCACCAGAGAAATATCGTGAATGAAATCATACCGGAAGAGAAGCAATACTCCTTGTGGTACCAACATATGAAACAAAGAGTTACCCAAACCAACTACACTTGACGTCGCTGTAGTCTCTTGATTTCTGCTGTAATG